GTGCATGTTGCCCACCTGCACACAGCGCCAGAAACCAGCAAGTGTAATCATGGACGGAACCGAGCTGGCGCAAGTGCAGAGCTTCTAACGCGCCGTGATCGAAGCCGCAATCGGCTCAAATAGTGCGCGCAGACCTGCACACCACTCATCCCACGTGCGATATTGGGGCACCTCCACGGTACAGGCAGAGCTGGAACTTTGAAATCTCCCAAAGTATTTGGATCCGAAAGGTTAAAACCTAGTGGTGTTGAAGTAGAAGGCCTAATCTAGTAGACTAGCAAGAAAATGGTACTAATTGCATCTCTATTGACATACATAATGCGCTTGTCAGTATGGTCGACATGCGTGCCCGTAGTGCAGGTGCCATGTACGACTAGAATGTATATATACGCCAAATTACAAAGATTCCAAAGATAAAAATCTGATATGGGGGTGGGGAATGGTGTAATTTAAAGGAAATGGGTAAATGTATGGTATTCACTGTTTTTCTACAGTGAAAATAATGCGTTGGTCGGTTCGGCCAGTATGTACGCTTGTGTGTAGGTACAAGGCGGAGCTGAAACTCTGAAATCTCCCAAATTATGTGGATCCGAAAGGTTAAAACCTAGTGGTGTTGAAGTAGAAAGCCTAATCTAGTAGACAGGCAAGAAAACGGTACTAATTGTATCTCTTCAAACATACGTAGTGCGCTTGTCAGTATGGTCGATATGCGTGCCCGTAGTGCAGGTACCATGTACGACTAGAATGCCTATATATGCCAAATTACATATATTCCTAAGGTTAAAACCTGGTATGGGGGTGGGGAATGGTGTAATTTAAAGGAAATGGAAAAATATATGGTATTTACTCCTTTTCTACAGTGAAAATAATGCGTTGGTCGGTTCGGCCAGTATGTACGCTTGTGTGTAGGTACAAGGCGGAGCTGAAACTCTGAAATCTCCCAAATTATGTGGATCCGAAAGGTTAAAACCTAGTGGTGTTGAAGTAGAAAGTCTAATCTAGTAGACTGGCAAGAAAATGGTACTAATTGTATCTCTTCAAACATACGTAGTGCGCTTGTCAGTATGGTCGATATGCGTGCCCGTAGTGCAGGTACCATGTACGACTGGAATGCCTACATATGCCAAATTACATAGATTCCAAAGGTTAAAACCTGGTATGGGGGTGGGGAATGGTGCAATTTAAAGGAAATGGAAAAATATATAGTATTCACTTTGTTTCTGTTGTGAGAATAATGCGTTGGTCGGTTCGGCCAGTATGCACGCTTGTGTGTAGGTACAAGGCGGAGCTAGAACTCTGAAATCTCCCAAATTATGTGGATCCGAAAGGTTAAAACCTAGTGGTGTTGAAGTAGAAGGCCTAATCTAACAGACTAGCAAGAAAATGGTACTAATTGCATCTCTATAAACATACATAATGCGCTTGTCAGTATGGTCGACATGCGTGCCCGTAGCGCAGGTACCATCGACGATTAGAATACATATATACGTCAAATTACAAAGATCCAAAGGTTAAAACTAGGTATGGGGGTGAGGAGTGGTGTAATTGAAAGGAAATGGGTAAATATATGGTATTCACTATTTTGCTACAGTGAACAAAATGTGTTGGTCGGTTTGGCCAGTGTACACGCTTGTGTGGAGGTACAAAGCGGAGTTGGAACTCTGAAATCTCCCAAATTATGTGGATCCGAAAGGTTAAAACCTAGTGGTGTTGAAGTAGAAGGCCTAATTTAGTAGTTAGACTAGCAAGAAAATGGTACTAATTGCATCTCTATAAACATACATAATGCGCTTGTCAGTATGGTCGACATGCGTGCCCGTAGTGCAGGTACCATGTACGACTGGAATGCCTACCAGGGTTCTCGTTATCAGACCAATTTGGTCTGATGGTCTGAGTTTAAGACTTGTTTTTTTTTATTCATCTGATTCCTAAAAAATTGTGTTTGTTCTCATCTGATCAGTAAGATTAGCGTTTTAGGTTCGTATGATTTTTCCAGACGTGTAGAATTCTTAATCTGAAAACACAGATATCGAGTTCGGTTTCGTCTGAAACCGACATCTTGACCCACTAGGCCATATGCCCAGTGGACCAGAGGATAGGACCACAGGTACAGCCATTTGCTGCCCTGTAACAGCACGCGCATTCATTACGCGTGTCTTATAGCAGCCCCGCCGAAAGCGGCGATGAGGTAGATACGTGGCATGTTGCCGTTTGTTCCACTCCCTCCCTCGCCCCCACACGCTCGTACCCCAACCTCGGATTACAGTAGGTTGACTTTTGACAGGAATTTTTTTTTCGTCTTGGTTATTAGACTAGAAAAAATATTCCAGCTTATAATGCAGACCACGGAAGTTTCGTCGTCCGAGCATAAGACGGGGGAAAATTTTTTCAGGGTACTGTCAGACAGCCCCAGAACCTAGCGAGAGCCCAGATGCCTACATATGCCAAATTACATTGATTTCAAAGGTTAAAACCTGGTATGGGGGTTGGGAATGGTGTAATTTAAATGAAATGGGTAAATAGTATTCACTAAAAATAATGCGTTGGTCGGTTTGGCCAGTACGCACGCTTGTGTGGAGGTACAAAGCGGAGTTGGAACTCTGAAATCTCCCAAATTATGTGAATTCGAAAGGTTAAAACCTAGTGGTGTTGAAGTAGAAGGCCTAATCTAGTAGACTAGCAAGAAATTGGTACTAATTGCATATGAACATACATAATGCGCTTGTCAATATGGTCGACATACGTGCCCGTAGTGTAGGTACCATGTACGACTAGAATGCATATATACGCCATACAAAGATTCCAAAGGATACAACATGGTATGGGGGTGGGGAATGGTGGGATTTAAAAGAAATGGGTAAATATATGGTATTCACTGCTTTTCTACAGTGAAAATAATGCGTTGGTCGGTTCGGCCAGTATGTACGCTTGTGTGTAGGTACTGCGGAGCTGGAACTCTGAAATCTCCCAAAGTATGTGGATCTGAAAGGTTAAAACCTAGTGATGTTGAAGTAGGTGGTCTAATCTAGTAGACTAGCAAGAAAATGGTACTAATTGCATCTCTATAAACATACATAATGCGCTTGTCAGTATGGTCGACATGCGTGTCTGTAGTGCAGGTACCATGTACGACTGGAATGCCTACATATGCCAAATTACATAGATTCCAAAGGTTAAAACCTGGTATGGGGGTGGGGAATGGTGTACTTTAAAGGAAATGGGTAAATATATGATATTCATTGTTGTTCTACGGTGAAAATAATGCGTTGGTCGGTTCGGCCAGTATGTACGCTTGTGTGTAGGTACAGAACGGAACTGAAACTCTGAAATCTCCCAAATTATGTGGATCCGAAAGGTTTTGGAATGCGCCAAAACGCTCACCTACACCCAACCAAGGGTCAGATGGGGAGGAGCTGGGGAGCGCAAGTACGAGCCTCAGAAACTTCGACAGCCCTGGTGCCACGCCGTTGTCGTCGTCTCCGTCGTTGCGGGCGACGCTATGAATTGCCGCGCTCGAGGGTTGCCCCACGCTTCCGTGCTGTGATGCTTGTCGTGCAGGTTGTCCCGGTGTGCCTGATGCTTGCGATTGTGCTTGCTGTGCTCGTGCAACGTCGTTTTGCAGGGACGTTCGTACTGCCGTTAGTGCCGCAATTTCTTTGGTCCTTTCATGCAGCTGCTGCTGCGTTGGTTCAGGTGCTCCTGCGTGAGCGTCGTGGCGTCGATGTGATTGGCCATTTCGAATGACGTCGTCTCAGCTTGATTCTAAGCGTAGTCGTGGCTGCACGCGTTTACGAGAGAAATACGATGACAGCGGCTCCTAGCGGCCAAAGGGCGTGAGTCTCTTCGAGTGAAAATCAAAGGTTGATTTAGTGGGGTGCGGAGATGCGCGGTCCAAAAGTACGTGGCTTTGATAACCAAGTGTTACGGGTGCAATGAAACGTGACAACGAGGATTGCACCAAGTGTCAGACGAGTACAAAGTATGAGCGAAAGCATGAGCGGATACTTATACGCAAAATTTTCGAACGGTAACGCAGTGCGTGCGAGCTAGCTAATGCTAAGCTGGCATCGAGGTTGAGGCTAATCTCGAAGCGTAGGCCGACTCGGCCGGGCAATCGGTGCATGGTTTGGTGAAAAAGTGCGTGTGGAGTTGGCGAAGCTCCATTAACAGTACACCCTGCCCTCGCCAGTTTCAACCCTTTTTTTTATGTTCTTTTTTTTCCTTTTTCTTTTTTTTTTTTAACAGAAGGGGCCCTGGACCAGATTCGGCTGTACCTAGAATAAAAAGGATACGAAATATGCAATCCGCATCGTTGAAAAAAAAAAAACATCTTTCAGTGGATCAGGTGCACCACCACTCACTCGGGCCATCTTTCCAGTTGCGAGCTTTGTTGCGTCCTCAGACTCTAAGGTAGTTCGAAACGTCAACTACATAAAATTAGATATCTAGCAATTTCAACCCTTGGTTCCATAAATATATAGGGTACGTATCCACGAGCGTTCAACTTCAGGGGTTGAGTTTGGCGGGGGTAGCGGGCGAACAACGGCTGCTGCTGTACGCGATGTTGACGGCTGCAGTACGGAATAGCGAGAAAATTCCTTACAATACATAAGCTATATGCTTACCTTGCGGTAGCCCACTGGTGGTCCCCCTGCGCAAACGAGGAAGTTATGGATTTAGCAGGGGAGGCGAGCCGCCCAATATTTGTTGCAGCGAATGAATGGAAGCCGCTAATTCAAGGGCGCCCTCCCCGGCGATAGCTCGTTACATCAAGGGTGGCCGTGTCGTCTCGACGCTCTAGCCTACATAATGCTCCCCAGCCTCCTCATCTAAACCAAACCAACCATGCGCTTTGGCTCGGCTCGATTCGGCACGGCAAGACGAACCTGACCCCTGCGCCCGTCAACAACATCTGTCGCCTTGTTTCTACCACTCACCACCGCTCCTCAACCAACTAAATTACTAACAATCACTTTACAGCGACTCACACCGTAGTCACAATGGTGGGTGTGGTTCATAGCAGATGGTGTGGATGGGGCGGGGCGAGTAAGTTGACTGGCGAGGCGACTGACGATGGTGCCGCTGCTGATGCAGGCAGACGGAACAGAACGGAACGGGATGGGACGGAGAAAGCAGAAGAAGGGCATGTTTGATGAGTCCAGCAAGCAATGCTCAAGCTGGGTGAAGAGTTGTTCAGGCCAAGTCCGTCTCCTCATTTCCTTGCATCCTTTTTGCATTATGCTATTGCATTTGGGGTTAGACCTACCTTCGCCTTCCTGTGTGTAGGAGACTCGCTTCCCTTGGTAAAGTAGACCGTGGTTTTCACTCGGATCCAGCCGGCGTCTTGCGCTGGATGACCTCTGCTTTTCATCTTTCGAAACTTCGTGAACACGTCGTCTTGAATGGTTGCTTCCCAAGCTCGGCACTGTGGGATTCCGTTATTCGCGAAAGTGCGTTTTGTGTCATCTCCGTCATACGTGAAGCGTTCGTTAACAAGGTAAAGGCTCACATGCCAAAAAGCAACTCTGCATGTGGCATCCCTTTGTTGTATCCTGATCCACACACTTACGAAACCCTCTGCTTTTTACATGTTGCTCTGGATAAACGAACGTGATTTCTTATGGTACCTATGGACCGAGATGGTAGGCTTAGCCGTGAATTCTGGTCTAACAAGACTTCAGCAGTTCCGTGAAACCTGCTTCGTCGTGACAACTTCATTTTCTTTCCGTTCTTTAGAGTTTGTTGCCTTTCTGTGGGGTGAAAGCCGGAGATTTCACAACTTCATTTTCAAGCGCCTTATAAGTATCATGTCCCCTTCTGTTTTGCAGGCTGGAGCCTTGTTAAATCATCGTGGCGATCCCACTCCGACCACTGGACAACTCGCCGTACCCTCCCTTTAAAAGGTTTCACGAACAGGTTGCCTTTTTGACGGATCTGCCCGCTTTTCATAGTCGACACTTGGGATCTTGTGGTCCATTCGGCCATGGCGGCTGAAGTGAGTCCATCATCAACAGGCCTGTTACTCGGCGTCGGCGGCGTTCCCTTCTGCAGCTTGCCTCAAGGACCGGTCACAGGCATCACCATGGGTAGTTCCCCTAGCCACGGCAGCCATAGCTCCCACGACAAGAGCTGGGACCACCCCGCGTCTGCCGCGCAATCCCCTCTATCAACAGACCACACCGACGCGTTTGCGCGTTCTCCGGCGGCGGAAACTGCAGACGAGCGCGTTTCAGACACAACACCCACGCGAGGAACTGCGGAGGCAGCGGCGGAAGGCGAGAGTCAGCCCGTATGTGAGGTTCTGCGGTGGGGTCAGAAGAAACGGTTGAGGTACGTTCGCAGTCAAAACCCTACCACGAGCAGCCCTCCTTCCCATCCCTCGGTGCCAGCTGGCGATCCTGTGTCGAGTATTGCAGGAATCACTGCAGTCCGCGCAGTGTGTAAGGACGAGAAGAAGGGAGCGTGGGAAGAGGAGTGGAGGGAGAGTGGGGAGCGAGCGGGAGAGGATGCATGCCGTTCGCGAGTTGCAAGCGGGAGAGGGGCAAAGAAGGGCGGAGAGGCGTGCGAGATGGAGGGAGCGGAAGGATCGGAGGGGAATAAAGCGGCGGCAAGCAGAATGAAAGGAGAATCGGTGAAGGAAGAGGCTGGACGTGGCTCGACTGCCTTGGGGACAAGATTCATGGAGTTCGCTCACCCTTGCAAGGTGAAACGTGCTTCTGCACGCGCGCATGAGCCAAGCTTGCCTGCTCTTTGCTCTAGGGGTGAGAAGGAAGCGCGCGGAAGAGGCGTCAGAGAACAGTGCGATCAGCAGCTTCCGCGGCTTGATGACGTCCATGATGGTTCCTGTGCTCCTCATCCTGACGCTGACGCTCACTCTGATAATGATGCTGATAATGATGCTGATGATGATGCTGATGATGATGAGGATGTTTCTGGCGGTGGCGAAGCAGACGGATACGATGTAGATGCAGGGGAGGGGGCTTTTAGCGATGACTCGTGTCCGGCTCGCAGCCACACCAGGCGAAAGAGGTACCATGGTCAGCTGCCGCACAGCACTCGCGAGCACAAGGGCCGAGGTAGAGAGAGAGGCAAGGAGCGGAAGAGGGCCCAGCTTGGGGAGAAAGCCCGCAAGGTTGGAAGCAAGAAAAGCAATACTTTGATTGCAGGCGAGGATTCGTGGGAAGACCATAGCAGCTGTGGGCTGATCCAGAGTTACCGGGACCTTTTCAGCACGCCACACCCCTCTGTGGCCTCCTTGATTTTCTCTGGGCATTGCCCGCTCTCTGCAGCCTCTGCAGCGGCGGCGGCGGCAGCAGCTGCAGCAGCAACGTTGCCGACAGCAGCAGAAACAGCCATTGCGGTGCCCAAGTTTCTCATCAGCTTGTCGCGCGTTGAAAAGGAGGAAGATTTCTGGGCCATACGAGGAGGGAGGCTTCCTCTGAGGCCGAAGAAGCGAGCAAAGGCAGCGGAGAAAGGAGTCCAGGTAAGCTCAGTAATGTGAAGGTACTGGGGCTAGCTTGGCAGTCTGCAATAGCTGTGGAAACTCAGTGCACGCTTGCTGTTTCTGTGTGCGTCCCACGCATTGTACAATGTTGAGATTCTGTGAGAACTTGCTGCTTTGTTCACCCTTGCTTCCCTATTGCAGCGGCTTCAACCTGGCGCTTGGCTGACTGGAGTGTGTTGTGAGCGGTATCAAGTGCGAGAGCGGAAATCTAAGAAGGTGTGTAACATGGTTCTCGCAGATGCTCTGCCTTGAATCTTGACTTCATTCACTCCTGTTGCTGCAGTCACCTGCCCCTGGCTGTTGTCAGATGTACCTGCCTGTTGCTGCGGATGTTGAAAACAACACTTGTGCCATGTTAATGTTTTTGCTGCATCTTTTGATTCAGTGAATTTTCACTCCCTCATGTCATGTACCCCAAAATGTCCTGTCATGCATGCAGAAAACCCGTGGCCTTCGTGGGATGAGTGGGAGAGGAAGCGATACAGAGTGACACAAGTTCTTGGTAGCGTACGCTGGTGAAGAAGTGGCTGCCAGCCTACCAACAAGATCCCACAGAGCTAGCACAAGCAGGCCATGACAGTACAGCACTTAGTTGTGTATTCACGGAATCCAGCAAGTTCTTGCATATTAGGATAGACAAGACCTTACAAGTGATCAATGTCCATCTTTTCAGGGGACACCTTGGGTGTGGGTTCCTTCACTCAGGGCGTATTCCTGACTTTGTGTCAAGAACCAGTTGGTGTCAACCCATAACTATGGAGCGCACCTGATTGGCCAGTTGTACCTTTTAAACCAATCGCATGCGTTCCAAGATTCTAGGTTGACACAAACACAGCTTGACACGAGGTCCAGGAATACGCCCTCAATCATGTATGTTTCATATCCAAACCCAGCAGGAGCACTAACGAAGGGAATGCACCATGTGAGGAATTGAAGGGCAGTCATACTGTACCAGGCTAGTGGGGCTGTACAGCAATATTTTGGACGCGTTCCATTCGCTCCCTCAGGGATGGCAGGTGGTTTGGGGGGGTGGTGGGGAGGGTGGGAGAGGGGGGTGGGTGGGGGGGAGAGTTTGGGACAAAAGGCGAGACGCGGTCAAAATTTTCCAATCTCCATTCTGTACTGTACTGTAGTGGCAGCCTCGACTGCGCGATGCAATTCCGTCACGGGCACCGCCAATGTAACCAGCCAAACCCTAAACATTGGCCAGCCTGGGGATTGACCTGAGGTCGTTGGGCTGGTGGAACTGAAATGGCGTGACATCTCCAAAGCATGGATGTGAGCGAGCTCATGTTGTGACGCGAAAGAGTGCTGTTGGCGTGGCTGGCAGGTGGTACAGAACAAATGATGACCTGGCGTGCACGGCGCAACTGAATGGTTCCCGGCATGGTGCCCTCTCGCGTCGCGCAGCCATGTCAGCCTTCAGCACAAAGGCCTCTCAGGGCGCGTGTCTTTTGGTGTAGACGTTCGGAATTTTGGTTGAACTTTTTGCTGGTTACTTTTTTCGTTGATTCGCTAAAACCTTCGCCAGGACGTCGTGTGTCCACGTACACTTCCAGCGTCGGAAAATGTTGAGCTCCCAAGTTGAACCCTCATCAACAAACAGGTTGGCACGAATGTGCGAGCGTGTGTCCACCTCATCACTGACAGCGACGATGCGAAGTCTGCGACGCTCGCAGCTAGCATCGTGCGCACGAGGGTGCTCGTCAGCGCGAGGCCTTACGTGGCGCGATGTCAAGAGCCCAAACCGGGTAACCTACAAGCGTAGGTCGCGGCTCGGCTGGGCTGCAAAAGTTCAACTTCGATAGTTGAACTTTTGTTTGTCGCGTGATTCTCGGAGGGGTGGAACCGCGGCTCGGTTTGCAGTTGGTGAAAACTCGAGCCTAGCTCGAGCTAGGTTCAAATGACTACAGTTCAACAAAAAAATCGAGTTTTGCATATAAAAACCAAAAGACACGCGCCCTCAGTGTCATCAGCGTCCAGCCAGGGCCAACTCCAGCGTGAGGTCAAACAGCCACCAACCCCCGCCTCGATTGTACAGTACTGTACAGTGCTGTGCTGCATTTTCCTCGATTCCTGCGTGAGTGTGACTCGATGGGCTCGAGGGAGGCCCTCTTTGGTTTCCGCCCTTGATATCTCCAATAAACTCAACCCTGTTTCATCACATATCCAACCTTGTCATGTCATTGTCACACTCCGACTCACTCCCCACTCTCCTGCTCTCCCTCTTTCTCCAGAGCGGATTCCACATGGGGGTCCAAACACCGCAACCCACCATGAAATCCACACTGAGCTAAAAAGACACCCACCCCCAACTTCTGCCCTTTCCAACGCGCCCCACCCGTTCCTAGAAGCAAAATAGTTCCCTTTCCTTCCCAACCCTAACCTCACGCCGTAATCTTCCGTGAAGGTTTCGTGTGTCTTGCTATGGCCACTTTTGATATTTGCCTAGTCTGAGAGTGGTCGATTTGTCGTAGCTCCAAAATTGTTGTGGTAGGATCCAGAGTAAAGGCATGGGAATCTAATAACTATCGCTAATTTTTATCTGTACTGGTCGTTGAGTCAGCCACGATTCCAACTTCGACGCGGAGAAGCAGTCTTATTTCCCCTTTATGACAAATGCGTAGCCTGGTTCTCTAGCGCACACAACCGCAGCAGATGAGCCTGCTTGTGCTCTTGCGAATTGACCAAACAGGCTTTTATCAGGCATTAGTAAGCTACACTTTCGATTTGGCCAGAACGTGTCGCATATGTACTGATACTAACACCACTAGTGCTACCCTCACAGCCCACTAGCTTAACCCCACCCTGACGCATTCACGTCGATCCATGCCTCCTACACTCGTCCTGCCCGCGCGTAACTTCCCCAGCGACCCCGCTGCTCCTTCTCTCACCACTATCCCCACCGCCATCAGCGCAACTGCCATAACCGCCAGAAGCAGCGCTCCGTGTAGAATTCACAACCGTGGCGACGGCGCTATCATGGCTACATCCGCCGACCGCTTTGTTACCGAAGTGCGACGATTATGGCACCACCAACCGCTCTGGGTCAACTTGAATTCATCCTCTTCGTCTTCCTCCTCCACCTCCTCCTCCAATTCGACCTCTTTTATTGCGCGCCAAGCCGACTGCTCCTCTAGTTCCTCGGGCAGTGCTGTCGCCGCCTTGACCTTCGCTTGCCTGCGACCGTGCGAAAGTGCGCTCGACAGCACCAGCATGTGTCGCATAAACGCGGGCTTTTTGCCGCAAACGATCATGTGGGCTCCTGGCGGAGCCTTACACGCTCTCCTAAACTCGACTGCGCCGGTTATAGACGGTTTTCTCCGCCTCCGCCGTCGCCGCCGCAGCAGCCGCCGCTGCGGCGGCTGCAGCGCTGCTGCCAGTGGAAGCCGTCGAGATCTCGACGGCGCGTCGCACGGCGCTGCACATGTCGTCGCTGCGACCGCTGGCGACGTTTCCGCTGGTGGACAAGCAGACGGGGCAGCTGTCGTGGAAGATCGTAGGCATCGCAAGCGATCACCCGCTTGCTTCTGCCGCTGTAGACGCGTGTACTAAGCTTGGAAAGGCCATATGGAACCCTAATAGTGCGCGCAAGGGCGGCGGAGAAACTAGTGTCGGGGCGCCGCCAGGAAAGAGCAAGCGGGGGGGGGACAGCAAGGAATTGGCGCGGGATCAAGCTTTGGCTACCGTCGCTGGTTTAGTATCGCGTTGGTTAATCGACGCTTACGATCTTCTCGCGGCACTCAATAACGAACCAACGGGCGTGGCCGCGGGCGCGGAGGGCGCGGAGCAGCGGCGGCGGTGGCAAGTGGGGGAGCGCGCGGTGTTCGCAGTGGCGGAGAACGCGCACGTGACGTGGCAAGGCATGATGCAGCAACCACCGCAGGGGCACGGGGCAACAGGCGCGCTGGAAATTGCGCCAACCCTGATGGCGCAAGGGCAAATGGCTCAAGGTGTGCAGTGGACAGGGTTGGAGGCGCAAGCGCAGCCATGGGCGCAAGCAGAAGGGGAGCGTTGGTGGGGAGAAGGAACATATGGGATGGGCGGGGAAGTGGATGTATGGTCTCAAGTAGGCAGCGGAGGGTGCATGACCCCTTCTGGCGTTGCATTCACTGGTGTTACAACCCCTAGAGGTCTAATGGTAAGCGGCTCAGATGCTGCTTGCGGCAACGCCTCTTTTGTACAACTGCTGCAGCAGCAGCAGCAGCAGCAGCAACTGCAGCAAATGTTGACTGTGGCGATGACGCAGGAGAGTGACGATGGAAGGGATGAGGGAATCGAGGAGGAGGTAGAGGGGGAAGGCGAGCGGGAGACGGTCAGGCGCAAGACAGGGGAGAAGGTGAAAGAGAAAGGGAAAGGGAGAGAGGACAGGGAAAGGGAAAAAGGAAAGGAGAGAGGCAAGGAGAGGGAGATGAGTAGGGTGCGTAGGGTGGGTGAGCGGGCGATTAAGGTAACGTCGAAGGGTAAGGAGAAGGATAAGCGTAAGGAGGGAGAAGAGAGGGAGGGAGATAAGGGGAAGAGCAAGGAGAGAGAGAGGGGACATGGGCATGGACAGGTGAATGGGCATGCGGACGGGCATGGGCATGGGCATGGGCATGGGCATGGGCATTCTCATGGTCACAGGCATGGGCATGCACGCTTTCAGAGTGGGGATGGCAGCAACGGCAGCGGCGGCGGCAGCGGCGGTGATGGTGGCGGTGGTGGTGGCGGTGGTGGTGGTAACAGTGCGGTAGAGAAGTTGCAGAGGGCGCTTCAAGCCAGGTACGCTGCAGCTTTAGGGAGGCAGCAAGAAGCAGCTCCAGACGGGCCGCGAGACTGCGAGAACCCCAAATCACCCGCAGCCCATGCTACTGCTGCTCATGCCCCTGCTCATTCTTCTGGTGTTGACGACACAGACGGTGATAGGGACGGCGCTCGCAGTGGCTGTAAGTCCGGCCATGGAAGCAGCAGTGGGGCTAGCAATGACAGGAGCAGCAGCAGCAGCAGCAGCGGCAGTGCGGTTTTGAGAGCTGGCACTGCAAGCGGAAGCAGCAGCAGCTTCAGCGGGAGCGGCAGCAGCAGGGAAAGGAAGACGCCGGAGAGGAGAAGGGGGGGATCGCATGGGGAGAGTCCCTTGGGGGTAACACCAAGGGTTGCATTGGAGCATGGGGCGGTGGAGGGAGGGTTGTCGTGTAGTGGCAGCAGTGGGAGCGGGTGGCGCACGCTTGGGAGCTTCAATGAGGGGAGAAGCAGCACTGCGTCCCCAAGGCTGTCACAGATGCCTTTCCCAATGCCTGTGCGAGATGTAGTTGTGGCACCAGAACAGCAGCAGCAGCAGCAGCAGCAGGCAGCGTTGATGATGAATCTGATGCAAGGATTCCACTCAGGACCTCTGCCCTTCCGCCCTTTCACTCCTGATCCTTTGCTGCTGCAGCACCAGGAGCAGCAGCAGCAGGCGCTGAATCAGATTCACAGGCGCAGCAGCAGTAGTGGTGGCGTGGATGCGGGCTA